TAGTCCAGCTGGCATTGAGAGCTGTGAAAAATGATTTGGCATTCCCAGTAGAATATCTGCGCAGCCTGTTGTCGATGCTGTGGCGAGACGTACATGATATCCCAACAGTTCAATTTATTCCTATCCCAAGAAAAACACGACTGGGCACGTCAAAAAAGGAAAAAAAATGGAAGAAGAGAGACAATCTCTTGGCGATGATGTCCATCATGAGAATTGAAGGGACAAGCAGCTTCAGGCTTGAAACCTTCAATTCCAAACCTTCAATTTTCAACCATCGTCAACTAGAGACAGGCCACATTCGCGTTTTTCCCTGGAGAGGTTCAGGCTATTTTCCATCAATGACAACCTCAATAACTGTTTATCCCGATATCTTGTCATCGACTCAGGTGTCCGGGGAGAAACCAACACACATTTCAGCTCATTTTCTCAATCGCAAGTTTTCTCGACGATGCAGCTGGAATTGTGCGAAGGGAAACTTCACACCCTGCTTGCAGGGCTTCGAGAGTCCACGCCCCTAAAAAGAAATGCATGGCGTCTCCCTGTGAACTTCCACTCTTTTAAACTGCAGAGGAGGCATGCTTTCCTGCGTTTCGTTTCGATCATTGACCATTCCGTCCGGGCTGGAAGGCGATTCAGACACATTAAACCTGACAATATCATGATTTGATCCCACGTTAATGTCATCGCATATTTCATCTGTTTAGTGGATCGTTCAATGAAGTACTTGCACCAAATAAAAGTTGTATCTTTGTAGAAAATTGGGTATCACTTCCCCCAGGCAACGATACTACGTCAATAGCATTGACGGATTAGGACCCCTAATGTCGTCGAACTCGTGCAAGTTGTGGCCTTTTGTTATCATTTTGACATTTAACCTTGAGCGATCACTATTAGAGTTCATTATATCCAATCATAACATGAATCCGCATTCATTAGGATAATTTTCCTGAAAATGCATCGGTTGGTTTCTTGTTAGTGTCAGCGTCTATAAGGTTATACTTACATTTCTACTAAGGGAGTCATTCCATAGTTTCATATTTCCTCGTACCAACATTTTCAGACGACCAAGGTTAACAAGCCAATTTGAAAACATATATGCACTGAATTCACTGATTTCAGGAGCCTCTAACTTTCACATGTTCATTCTGAATTAAAATATGACTATTAAATTCGGTGCATGCTACAAGCTATGTCATTTGGCATTGTTTTTTCCTTCCCTTCCCAGCACCCAAAAAGTTACAAAAAAATTAGAGTTGATTAAATGGGGAGTTGATTAAACTTATTCTTTTGGTGACATTTCTTTTCACACGCAAAACCAAAAACGACTGCTAGGAAGCCAACTAAACAGCAGCCGATCACCAGAAAACCGGTGAATGCTGGGGTTGAATGCAAATTCACGTATACAAGAGTCACATTCTCATACTCAAATATGTTGAATTCGTCCTTCGAGGGCATTGGACTCCGGGATGAATTTCGCTGTACAGACATAATAGGACCAGTTTGATTATATTTGCTTTCGTTCTCCTTGCAGTGAGTCCCAACTTCAATCCCGAAGTAATACTTGTGATGCTCGGAGTACGGCGCCACTGAAGGAAAGCTGCAGGACAGATCTTTGTTGTATGGTATTCCATGGCATTCTTTGTATGGTGAGTGCGCACTGGAAGCACCCATGTTGTAGTGAACCTCGATCCCATGATGGTACGGGCCATCGACGAGTGTCGGGAATTTCAAAACGCTGGGGAAATGTGGCACGAAGTCATCCGAGTTCACCACTCGCCAGCTGTTGTTTACGAGCTGGTCATGCTGAAATGCATACATGTAGTTGCCGACGCGTGGCATGCCGAAAGTGTACAACATCACATCCTTTCTCGTTGCCAGCTGCTTGTGAACTATCCACGTGCTCGCCAGTGAGGCGATGGCACCTCCAAGAGAATGTCCGGTCACCCAGATCTTGTAGTTCGGATGTCGAGAGCGAAGGGACTCCAATTCCTCCTCCATACTTGGCCACAGGCCGTCAAACACCGTTTTCCAATAAGCCTGGACTTCGCCATCAAGGAATTTGGTTTTTCCGAGCAGAAGGGTTGCGAGAAATACTTGCAGAGCCTGAGAGAAATCTACAGAGCCACAGAAGGCAATAATGATGGCCTTTTCTTCGTGCGAAATGGCTACGTACCCGGAGCATTTGTTGACAACCAAGCCGCAGCCCGTGGTCACGACTCTCTTTATGACCACATTCGATTTTGGTAGGATCCATTGCAAGCACTTCTGGGGATCTCGCGTGTCGTAAGCAGCTGCGCATGCGAACAACATCTTCTGGGCCGTGTCCGGGTCGTAGCGGGAGAGCTTGCTTCGACAAGACGACGAATCAACGATATTCTCCGTCGTTTTGCACTTGTTGTGAAGGGAGCCATCTGCATGGCACTCGTTGTCCCTGGGACACCATTGACACGAATTTCCCCAACGGTTCGCTTCCACGCAGCTTCTGCAGTCCATCAAGCCATGGCAAGATGCTTCACAGTCAGTCAAAAAATGCATCCCGAGTGCCAAGAAAAATCCCCAAGTCGAGTCCCGCATTTTTGCCAGCCGAACTCGAAGCACTGCACCCAGCTCGAAGAACTCAGAACAAACTAGATAGAGAAGCCAGGTTTATTCTCTTCTCTCGTGGCGCTCGCAGACCTCCAGCCGCACCCGAGAATAATAGAGAGAAAATATTCCCTGTGCGCCTGCAGGCAGAATAAGGGTGCACAGCTGCCTGGGGAAAAGAGCACACGTGTTTGCAAGAACGTGCTGCTTTCACGTGAGCGAGGCCCGGTATGCGTTGTGAGGAACCCGAATGCAACTTGAAAGGCCAAAGCACGACGTATTATTCCTGGTAGACCGACTGTTATTTTCCCTTAATATGTTTTCATACCATTAAACTCCCAGGCCTGACATTCCTTATTCAGGTTAGCAAAGTCCGATTAAATCGTGATCATGGAATGTCACGACGAATTCCGTGTCCATTTGACTTCAACGGGTCCATATCAAAATAGGGAAAATCTCTCGAAAATGGCAAAACTAAACTAGAACTTCCTTGGGAAGGACGTGAACCCAGAAGACTCTACTAAAAGATCGATTGATTTATTGACACCGACATAAAATATGAAAACACTCTCCTAAAAAGATTTTCATGTTAGCAAATAATCATCACTCAAATAGCATTCAGTCTACGTAGAGCGTCATTCATGTGGCTGTGGTTAAAAGCCATAATGTGGCCGATTAGTAGGATTGAAGGTGCTATCTTACACTGGCTGGGATAGTCTGGTGGAGAAGCGTGGAGTTAAAACTGTATGTTGTAAGACTGAATTTGTCTTACAACATAAACGTTCATCCTTTCTGCAGTTATTCTATATTCAGATGTTAGACATTCCCTCCACCGAAACCCCTATTTATGAGAGATGTGACTACGAACGTTGAAATCGTTGATGTTGATGTGGAAATTGAACCATTCTCTCTCGTTCGAGCCTGATTTCTCTGGAGAGTCCTTGGATTGGGTCACCTCTAATGACGGATTTGTCCAAGAACTCGAGTATCTTCCGCTTTGGTTTATGTGGAGTAAGACGGCTGCATTGTGAAAAGTATTCGGAACAAAATCCACTTGTATCAGGAATTGACCTGCTATAGCGACTAATTTGGTGCCATCTATCTTCGATTGTTCGACCCTTTTTTCTTTCAGCTGATGTCAAATCGATACCGATGATATGCTTGAGGAAAATATCCTAAATGTTCGACGAACGTCTTTCAAATGCATAAGGTTTCGTGATGAAATGCCACCTTAACTGAGCACCAAAAAGGTGCTCATTCCGGTACACTGGATATCCAAAAACCTCTATGATAAAATGTTGAACGTCCTCGAAAGCGTTTATGTGCTACATGAACAATGTCATCTATATAATTTAATACTTTAATTCGAAGAGCCCGAAAGTTGTGGTGGTGGTTGTGGCTGCCACCCTAACGCACAAGGCCTACGAGAATGTGTCATTTTAGGCCATAGGCTAGGCCATCCACCGCTCAAAGCGCAAGATGCGTAGGGGTATGCCAGTCTGAGCCATAGGCAGTGACATCTTATTTCCATAGTCTTCATACAGAGTTATGCCAAAGGGTGCTACTAACTGAATGCGTGTCACGTTCCATGCAATAGTTTTCTGTTTGCGTTTCATGTCATGGTCGATCAGTTTCACTTCTCTCGATTGATGAAGTCAAAATAATCACGCAAGTTCTTTGTTTCATATGTCGTGCAAACGGGCCGCCATCAAAATGGTTTCGGTTTTTGCGAGGTGAGGTTGATCGCAAAGAAAAAAATGTTGAAGGAAGTCCCACAGGACGGCGATGAGGCAGCCGCTGCAGATAAAAAAAGATTGGTGCTGTCGCGGAAACAGCGTTTGCCACTGCAGTTGTGGTGCGAAGTGCTTAAATCGGTGATTTAGGAGATGACAGCCGTAATGGCTAGATTGAGTGATGAACAGCACGCATCTGTACGTAGGGAGCGAAGGGGCCGCTCAAACAGCTGAAGAGCAAGAATCAGCGAATGCTGAGCTCAGTAATAGTAGAGCCGTGGAGCCTGCTGAGCAACTTGAACCAAGTAACGGTGCATTCAGGTGACAAAAGCCGGGGGGGGGGGGGGCTGTCGGGAATTGAACCCTGACCTCCTGCTTGCCGGTCAGGCAAGCATAGCTACATTGCATGTGCTATCATTCCACCACGGAATTCGGGACATTTTGTCATGCCTCTTTCTGTCATCTCAGTAGTTACAGTCGTTTGTCACAGCGAGCACTGTCAGTCTGTACATTTTGCTGTATGAAGGGGGCATTTGTTTCACATTGCTGCCACAACAGAAAAATGCTCCTGCTGTAACTTACGCTTTTTTAGAGCCTCAGGATAGTGTTGCTCACTGGTGCAAATGTGGAGGCGAGGCATTTTCAGGAATTATTCGTTCGTATTTTGCCGCAGATGCGCTAACTTCATTCTGTGCTGAAGTCGAACAAGTTCTTGGAAATGGCCCGTACTGCTTCAGAATCAGTAGTATCTATACAAAAAGCTAATGCTAATAGCTCTATAAACTAATCGATGATGCAAGAGTATTGAATGTGCTGGGGCAACGAAATCAGCAAAGTCGTATTGAGTCTCATGAAAACCTGTTAAACCGATGCGTTCACAATGGCAATTGTGGCATTGAGCTCGAATATCGTGATGATGGCGTTTAGGAACAAAATCCATTGAATGCCAATCTCAAATTTGGTATCGTTTGAAAGGGCAAAACATGCGCTTTAGAATAAATTATTGGAACGAAGAATTCCAGATGTGGCAAGTGTCGCTTTTCGACACTGAACATTATAAAACCGTTCGGTCACCTGGAATTTTGTTGTTTTACCTTTGAAGGATATTGTCTTTGATCAATTTAAAGAGGGCGATTTAGCAAATATAATGACACCAGAATGAAGCTTCTATCTTAATTATAAGATAATTTCTTTCAGGAACAGTTTCACAATTCCTGTAATTATGGGCACAAGGAGCCAACAATTGGGGCCAGTCAAATGCCAATATCAGGAAATTGCTGGGAGAATAAAATATTGGTTGAAATTTGTTTTTCTTTTAAATCGATTCCGCTACATGTAAGGCTATTTTCGTGCAATTCGGTGCTGGTCGAGCTCACGCTCTGGTCGAATTGGCGTGAAATGACCCGTACGCTATATGTTTAACCTCAAGTATTGAAAGAAACAGAAGATACGGATATGACGTGGGACAATGTATGATGTCTAGAGTGGGTTAGAGAAAGAAATGCTGAGCAAACGTGCTTGCTTCATTCCCTTGTCAGTGCTGACGGAGACAATCTTCTACATAATTTTTATAGTTTACTCACAGACAGGAAGTTCTCATTCATAAGAAAACGCGCGGTTGTTCACACAACGTGAGTTGGTCAGGAAGTGAGACTTCATTCCATTTCCATGGAAGAGGGAGAGGAAACTCCTTCCAACCTCTCCCACAGAAAGTGGCGTTCCCGTCCAGCTCCTGTAAAACCTCTTGCGTCTGCACGGGTGTACCGCTGGACTGGTAGGGCTGGAGAATCATATGTTCATTTGCATATCCTCCAATGGCGATGAGCTGACCCTGAGAGTCCTCGACTAGGCCGAGATTTGACCTTGGGGTGTTGAGAGAGGGCAAGGTAGATGGGAATTCCCATCGCTGTGCTCTCAGATCGAACGCCCACGCCTGGGAGGACGTTTCTGTTTCTGCTGTGATTCCACCAATGAGGATGACGTGTTTTCCCTTCCAAAGAGTCGCCGCACCCCCACAAACAGGTTGGGGGATATCAGGAAGTTGTTTATAGATATTTCCTTCGCGGTGATCAAACATGTATGTTGTTTTTAGAATTTTCCGCTCGTTCCAGTCCACTCCGCCGAAAATGAGGCAAGATCCATCTTCTAATGAAGCCCCTGTTGCCATGGCTATGCTCTCTGGGAGTTGGGGAAGAGTGAGCCATGTCCCTCCTTCTTCTGCAATGAACACTCCTGCGCCCGACATTTCCCTGGGCTTTGAATGACTCCTGATGACTTGGGTTGCATTCCCATCGTCTCCTCCGAAGAGATAGAATCGTTTCCCAGGCAAGGAACAAGAGATCAGGCAAGTGTCGGAGGAGAAATGGAAAGGGGATGAAACGTATGGTAAACATGGGATGCATTGATCAAGACTGGGAGTGCTCTTAGGGTATTCTGCTAGTTTCACGGTAAATGTACTCCTTTCCCTAAAAAGAAAAACCGTCTCCTCTATGCCTCCCCAAACTCCATTTTTCACATTCACCTTCTCCCTGTGTTTGCCATTGTTGAATGTTTCATTCAGGACCGGAAGAAAGGAGCTATTGAGAATGTCGAGAGAGAAGACTCCAAGCCCCTCCCATCCACTCTCGTTTTTAACCCTGGCCACCATGCCTGTTGGGGAGGAGAGGAGCAAACATCACGCTGTGGAATATTTAGAGATGGTTCTGAGTGAATGGATGACAATGAATCGCAAATTATATGTTCTATAAATGATATGAAGTTAAAACTTGGAGGTTGATAGTTTTGGGGATGTTGGGTTGTGAAGAAATCCTACTTTTGAAGCGCATCTTATCGGGACAAATTATTCTGGGGGGTTGTTGTTTTTCTATAAAAAAACGTTATTTTTCGCTATTGCAAATCCAAGAGATGAAGAAAGATGACGTTTGGAAGTTAAGTACTTCTTAGAGTGCTGATTTTAGGCACAACTCAAAGTCATTTGTTACATCTGCTGAACACCATTAATTTTCGGTCCTTCTTTTACCGAATATTTTTCGTTCCATCAAAATGGGCAGGTATAGTTAGCTTTAATTAAGCAATCATATAGTTATTGGACACATTATACAAGAAAAATTTATTTGCGTCATTCCATCGCAGTTACTGTTTCATTGACAACATTTTTTTTCGAAATTAATTCCACCCTACCTTCCTAGTTTTCAATATCAGATCTTGCTTGAAGGCATCACGATTTTAAGCACTGAGCTTTTTTCGGGTCTAATAATGTGCTTTCGTCAATTTCTCTTCGTGCAAGTAAAGGGGAAATAAGGATCTTACAGTATGTTACAAAGAATGGGCCCGATCTCCAACTGTGGGTCTTTCAACTCCATCTGAAGAAATGCTGCTTTGAATTGTATTTGAGTATTTGAATTTAGCCAGCACTTCTCTGTGATTTAAGTAAATGGGAGGAGGTATTTACAGTTTATCCTGTAATGGATCAGGTTTCCAATTGAAACCCAAAATGAGGAGGTCGAGTCTGGGCGGCAGTGGGCTCATTTTCGCTTACAGGATGCCAATTCTCTTCAGGAGTGTCTTCCCTGTGTAGGGAAATTCACGCTAAATGCTAAATTCACATCGAAGAGATACGGATGTTCTACACTTTAGGAATCGGTATGATCAAGTTAAGTCCTTAGACAACCTAAGAATTGTCCCTATGGTTTACTACAGGACTTCGGTGGGTGTCTCCTTGACTGAGGAACTGTAAGCTCCTGGCAAGTATAGGAAATCACGAAGATTAGAAGCATAATTATGGAAATCATGCTTGGGTAACAACTTTGCTTCCAAGAAGAGGAGCCTGGAATCGCACATCCCATCAAAACGAAATTTTCGGATTCTTTTGACGTTAACGTCCACGTGAGGAATGATACGAAAGAGAGCTGCAGGAGCATGACAAAACCTTTAAAAAAAACAATTAATACTCCGATAATATTATCAAATAATACATCGATGCGTTCCTTAATGATGCTAACGATGCATCTCTTGAACAATTGGTGATTGACGGTGATGTCTATGTTGTGGATTTAAATAAGGCAATACTAAATTCAATAATGCCAATCAAAAGGTGTGCCTGCACTCACGTGATTTGAGAAGAGATCCGGGTGATTTCGCATGTAGCGCCTAGAAAAAAAAAATTGTTTGGCATAGTTCTGATGTACTGTATTCATGAATAGCCACTTGAATGAAACGTAGGTTGTTTATTCGTTCACATGAGTGATTAAATATGCTACATGCAACTGTTACTTATGCAATGGTCGTGCAATTATGATGGAGTTGATAATTTATTTAATCGTAACAGATCGTGAACGGGCAATGAATTATAGAGCATGATTTAAAAGTAGCTTTACAACTTCCGTGGCTTCATGAACCTCCCTCACAGGCAACGAATGTGGTATCGAAACAAAGGTATAGACTTGAAATTGTATTACCAGCAATTACCACAACTCAATGTGACTGCTAGAAATGACGTTGGCAGATATTCAGGCGATACTTAGACTCATCTCATACCCGTTGCAGCATGTCCGGCGAAACGCTGGCAGCGGCCGCAGCGATCCTTTCCTTCAGTTCTGGCACGCTTGATGTAAGTGGTGACTGGCAGACTTTGCTCTTGAGATAACCCTGCATGCAAAGATCCAGCGAAAAAAAATCATTTTAAAACAGTCTCCAGACGTCAGAAGAAAAAGACTAACTGCGTGATATTGGCAGACTCCTTTTTATATATTTTCAATAGGCTTTTCTTACTGCAGCGGGAATGGGATGAGATTGAGTATCGCCGAAATATCTACCACAGCACTTCTGGTAGTCACATTGAGTTGTGGCAATTGTTGGGAATACAATTTGAAGTCTATACCTTTGCTTCAATACCACTTCCGTCGCGCAATGACAAAGGCTCTGGAAGTTAAAAGCCATGGAAGTTGTAAAGCTACTTTTTTACCACGCTCTATTTCCTACATTCCTGTAGCCTCTACGGGAGGAGAGGCTTTAAAAAAGATCCCGAATTACGTATTGCCCAATTTCATTACACAAGGGATACCTGTTAAGTCTCCATATTACTTTTTTCTTAGTTATAATGATGTGATGTAAATAGAAATTGGTACACAAGTAGTCTGACTTGGTCTATAACCCAAAACTTTACCTGCGCAATGTTGTCATTTGAAACGTAGGAACAATAAAAAAGGTAGCTTTTTCGCCTAGATAATTAAGACCCCAAGGCCGAAAAAAGTTCAACTCTCAAGCGTCCACCAGAAGTGTTCCTTACTTGTTTTTTTTGGGCAAGAATGGTTCAATACTATCGATATTTGAATTTTTGGAACCAAACCCAACGATCAATGCCGACAGATATTGTCCGACGGTAAAGAAATTTAAACAGGTTTCACTGTATTTTTTTTTACTGATATGCGAATTCGGAGAACTACTTGCCTACCAAGTGTCATCCTTATCCATATGCCCTTTTTGCTGGTGCAAAAATATACAGGGTGTGCGTATTTAAAAGCAACATAGGGAAATGTTTACGCCTGTTCGTGGAGTTCAGGGCGTGCCTTATAGCTCACCGGGTTGCATATCGGGAGGGATGAAACCTCTCCCTGCTGTGTTTCCTTGCAGATATCCCAAGCAGCATGTTTACGTAAATATGATATCAATTCTTTGCGAACAATGTAAATTTCTTGCGATTGCCATGAAAATGACTTCACGTTTACGTAAAATTTACATTCCTATTTACGTCACCAAAGTGTACGTGTATTTTACATCAACTAGACGTCACTCCATTTGACGTGACATATCAAGTTTATGCAAAATTAACGCCACACCATCCATATGAATCTTTAGCTGACCATCCCGCAGTTGCAGTACCAAGATTCCTCACTAGATGGAACCCTCGTTCCCTGCATCCTACAAACACTATTAACTACTGCCTTTCCTGATAGAATATTAGATTTTCTTACCACCCTTCCACTTTTTATTATGCAATCCATGTCATGAACAGGATGTCCATGTCCATGTTCTATGTCCAGAAACAAATTCAGGAAGAAATTGGTTATGAAAACAGTATGTATACGAGTATTTATGCATAATAAGCAATCAAACCTCCGACAAATGTGACTGGAGTTGGGATTCCAGTTGGGCATCGATGCAGGTGAGGCCCTGCATTTTGGACTGCATCTGTGCTGGAGTTAACTCCTTTATCCAGTCATTAAGCGCCTGCTGGAACTGCAATGACGTCAACTGGTGATTCAAATGTAGAAATCAGTTATTACAACGGACTATATCGAGAATTCGGCGAGACGACCTTAGTCATGAATTCCTTGAGCCGGTCGTCGAAGTTCTTGAGCGTTCCCTCGAAGAGTATGGTGCCGTTCATCTCCCACTGTCTGAGCGCGTTTTCCACCAAATCCAATAATTTTGTCTCCATCGCTGACTAAATAAGATAATCATAATTTCTTGCTACGCCCTCCGTGAGAATCGTTTTCAAGTCATCGCTTTCTTCGGTGAGGAATGGGACAAGCACGCACACGTATTAGTTCGGTTATCCTACCTGAACTTCCTTCAAGTGCAACTTCTCTCTGGCATCTCTTTCCCCTTCCATTTCCTCCTTCAAGTCCTATAATTGTGGAATGTTGGGGTAAATTATTTCAAAAAGAAAGAAATGCATACACTTTGCCATTGAAGGTGATATGACCAACTTGCTAAGAAAAGTTACTAACAATATCAGGGTCGCACCTCCTTGGAAGAAGACGCCACTCATGCAAGCATGAAATTTTCACCATTGGTCTATGACAGCTTTATCGACGAATCGCAAGCTTATTAATTCATGGTGACCTTGAAGTCACTCTATCATTTCAAACTGAATTATTTATCGTGCCTATATGGACAGGTCATTGCTGCAACCCTCCATAGAAATAAGATTTCTTATATTTTTTCTCAATAATTACTAACGATAATATTGGAACTCTTATTTCTTATCTCTATGGAACAATCATGCCTACACCTGTAAACAGGGGAAACTTAATGTCCGTCAAATTTGTCCAAATATGCCAAAATGGTGAAATATCAAAATGCATTGCAACTTTTTGAAACGGTACAGTAACCAAATATATTCAATAATGAAGAATCCTTATAGAACATCTATTCCGACCTAACGAGTAGACTAGTTACAAGCATTCTCACTGGAGCATTTTCGGTCGAAAACGTGATCATTCCCTAAATTTCAGTTGAATTGACTTTTCTTACAATCCAAAGTGAAACTTGTAATTTGAGCTTTTCAATTGAATTGAGCTATTCACCCATCTTTTACCATGAGTAGTTTCAGAGATATTGCAATTTTTTGAAGGATTATTTTACAATTCCCTTCAGAACTTCAAAGCGGTATATCTAAAAAAACCGTTAGATTAGGAATGCTAAAACGATTGATTCACTAATTTCTCATAGTCACAAATATATATCACTTTTCACAGCAAAATCTAAGTCGGGGCAGTACTCTGGACTAAGTAGGCTCTGGACCAGTGGTACCCAACCTCGGGTCGCGACCCAAATCACGGATGCGGGGGGTCCTCAGTAGGGCCGCAAAGGGTCAATATAATCAAATAAATATAGTTACATAGAATATATATGTATCTATATTTATATACATATTTAAATTTTCATCAAAAACCTGAGGGCGGGAGGGCCTGTTGGTAGTCAATTTAGGATCGCAGCAAAAATAGGTTGGGAGCCAATGCTCCAGACCATTTGACACGGGACGACTTTAGTGCAATTTTTAATAAATCATTCTTTCAGAAAGGAGTTCAAGGTCCAATGACACTTTATTTTCCGCACAAGCAATAGGTACTGCAGGAATAGTGTCAATTTGCAGAAATGTTGCGGGAACACGAAGTGAGATATGCCAGGAAGGGGATGGGGTGAAGAGTATTCCTCGTGCAAAATGGCGACATGTGCGGTGACTCCGGCATTAGAACAGCGGTGTTTAATCAAATTTTTCGTGAAAGAAGGTGTCAAGGCGGTGGAAATCCACCGAAGACTTACAGTAGTTTGGTAATGCTGCTATAGCATGGCGAACGGTGTATTGTTGATGTGAAATGTTGAAAAATGGGGTCGAATGAGTAATGTGAGTATCTGCCAGCCACATCTGTGACACCAACTAATATCACACACCCAGCACATCCCAGATATACTGTGAGTGACGCATGTGTAATTTCTAGAGCGCGGTCAACAGCTAATGCAAGCTACTAGATTGAACCTCTTGAAAGGCAAAGCACCACATCATGGTGATTCGCAAGAAACGCCCAGAGAAACTGAGTAGAGGCGTGACAATGCTCCATGACAATGCTTGCCCTTGCATTGCCCAAAAAACATGTCTGAGAAGTTAGGACAAATGAAGAGATGTAGAATTGTGTCCTCCGTTGGCTCCAAAACCAACCTTAAGCCTTTTATGCCATAGGCATACGAGTTTTACCCACCGATGGGAGAAGCGTACACGTGTAAAGGGGTATACATGGAAAAGTAGACAATCTTTCATTGATGTGTCTCTTGTTGAGGCTTCTGTGGAAAATACAATTCCATTGGACCTTGAGCCCTCGTAGTTCAGAAAGAGCACGCTGCAGTGGAGAAGCAGAGGATTAAGGGTAAGAAACTACGATAGGCTTTTCTTCCACAAATTTCTAATTCATCACACACTCCTTGGTTCGCCATGAGCCATATGTTTCATTCCTCCCAATAAAGCGAAATTCACTGCATCACCAGAGCCCGAAGATTACATTTTCTTCATCGAGTGCAGGAGGTTGAAAACTTCCATATTGTTGATACTAAGAGCTTGGGAGCAGGGATGAATGCAGATAAAAGTGAGCATTTCAAAGGATTGAAGAGAAGTTAGAATTGATTCCAGATGCTGGTTGATTGTATTTTACTTGTCAAGGTTGGAGTTGTCTTTGAGTTCAGTAATCTCTTATTGTCAATCACTATGAGTTACTCGCCCAGGAGCATATCTACCAGCTTGAAACTTTGCTGACCAATGTATTGAAGATACATAAACAGCCTTCGCCATTTTGAAAGAAAAAAATTAACTGTCGAAGGTAGCCAAGCTGAGAAATGTTGAGCACCCCTCGACGTAAGGTAAGAGTAAATATGGATCAAAATATGAGTAAAAATATTTGTTTAATCCAAGTTCCTCGCCTCTGCTTAAATTAAATCTAAATCTAAATCTATATCTCTATCTAAAAGCAGTCTAAAAGCAAAAAGTCTGTTCTTCGCCCAGACCCTTTAGGCAAAGACGTAAAAGTTATATTTAAATTTAGATTTAAGTTTAGCGGATGCGAGGAATGGGTCCCTGATATTACTTGAAATCTGATACACTTCATTGTGTTCAGAGGAACTTGATAAAATGAGTTTGGAGGTGTTGGTGGGTGATCTGATTTCTGCTAGAAAATAATTATTTCAGTACCTGTGAGGAGTATACATACGAGTATTCCTACTGCCCTTTTATGTTGGAGTGGCATGATCCAGAGCTAAAACTCTGAAAATTCAACTAGCATGTAGAGGGATACAAATGGCTTACTACAAAGAGTAAATCAATCAAAATATAAAAATAATGAAATAACAATGAAGAGAATCGTAATATTATATGAACTTCAACCTCAACATTCATCTTGAGCTTCTCATTTTCTTCCTGAAGCATTTCATTTTGCTTTCTCATGTTCTCCAACTCAAACTTCACATCGCGCAGTTCACGCTCAAGCTCCTGCTTTTGAAAAGTCAGTTCCTCCACCTTCTTCTCAGCTTGAGTGTAGAGTTTCGTCTTGGCTTGTAGCTCCTTGGCTATGTTGTTCTTAGCCATGACGATCTGAAAGAACGCACGTGTGCATATGGTAGTATTAAAAAAAAGATTTGCGTGTAGAAAACATTATGTTCACGTTAAAAAAAATCATGAAAAGTTTCGACATCAGCGGCCTATTGTTGTGGGTAATGATCCGTCGGCATTGCAATCTGTTACATACCTCCAATCTTTATTATGAACCAGAGAAGTACACCTGATGCTCCTTCGATTTAGAAAAATAACCACGAAAGAGTAAAATAGAAATCCTTCTTGTTCAAAACAGAGTAAGAATCTTGAGCGGCTATGCCACCAAATCCAAGAAAACAAGGTATGAAAATTGAGATACTTATACACAATGTGTAATACAAGTGACTCTCTCCTAAATTTCAAACTTACATCTATGATTTTTGTCTTCAAGTCATTTTCCAGCATTTGAATGTTCAGAATGTAATGCCATTTACTTCAATTGAAATTTTCCCAAAGTTAATGAGCCCTAGCAGCACATAACATTCAATGCCAATCCAATGTAATGTGCTGCTGGGGGGGTAACATAACCTAGACTGGCACAGCTACTGAAGACCAGAAACGGAGCAGATATCGCTGCAAGATGCGAGGTTTGGAAGCAAATGGGGATGGTGAAAATAGGGTAGGGACAACAATATGCAAGACATGTAGCACTTGACATTAAACCCCAGAACAGCCAAGAGAAGAAATGAGGATTGGTTCTGTAGCCTGTAGGGCCTGTTCAGTAGTTTTGCTTTAGCTGAAAGATAAAACCCCATTAAGGGTATCTAGGAATGATGCCTCCAAGGAAAATGCTGTTTTCAAATTCCATTCTATCGCTACTCAAATTAGTATTTACGTTTTGCAGAAATGTTCACCATGCGCCGATCCGGGAGCCTATACCCTAGCAGCACATAACATTGATTCAACGCCGGCTCAACATCGGGATTGCGAATCAATGTTGTTTCAATGTTATATGCTACTAGGGCAGGGCTGCCCAGCATGCGAACCACGGTCCGGATCCGGACCGCGAGCTCCCATCCTCCGGACCGCAGACTACACTGACCATGTGTCCAGCAAATACCAGACAGTCCCGAATTTCTACCTTCTATCCATAACACTCTTGAATATTCATGATACTCAGAACAATATTTGCAGGATTTGTGGGTCATGCCCAGAATTTGACCGTCTTTTCTGCTTCATGAAAGTCTCTTTTTTTTCCATATCTGATCGGTGGAAAGGGTACAATTTCGCATGGCGAAAGCGCCAGAGGTTAACCCGACAAGCAGAGCTGTGCCTGCCCGTGCGGCGCCCCACGCCTCGAGTGACGGCTAGAAACCTAAACGGTTCCGGACAGGAGCGAATCACGGGAGCTAAAGCCAGGGTAACGCCAAAATCAAAAGTGTGTTCGTTCGCGACACAAGTGAAAGCCAAATCAGCTGGTTTATATAGGTCAGAGTGGGAACGCCTTCGCTTTTTTTTTTAACCCTGAGCAAGAATGTCCGCGAGATTTCACTGCTGGCAATAAGGGCTCTTCGATTGGGTCATTGAATTGATTGCATATGTGGAACACATAACGAAATTCACATGAAATGTTCTCGAAATGCAACTAATGTTAAACTTCATGTTCAAGCCAACGTTTAATATTGTTGCAAGGAATTCTTTGACTTTTACCTTGAATGATTTCTTTTAGCAATGATTTGTTATCTAACGATATCTTCATATTTGATGTGTTCAATGGATGAAACCGACATAACAAACTTCCTAATTACTCAGAAATATAGACCTCCGTCCAGAGTTATCTACCTCTCGATCTGGAATTTCACTTTCGGACTGCCAAACCGCCCGGAAGTCAATTAAGCGGAACTTTCCCGCCAACTAGTTGAGCACCCCTGTACTACACTCTTAGAAAATTCCGAGCGTTTGGGGAGTAAAAAGTGAGCACACCGTGAGCTTTTCGAATTTACTCTCTTATTACTCACCAAATGCTCCCTCATCGCTCGTATTGAAGTGAACACCTTGAAGTTCTTAGCCAGGCCCCTAGATGGCGGTAAGGGTCTCGCTTTTCGCACAGTACACAAAAGTTCCCTTCTCTTTCCCTGGAATCGTCCCTTGCAGGATTGTTTAGTACCTTGCCATATGTCTCGCCTAGTCTCATTATAGGAATGAATAAACACGGACACTTCATCATTTGTTATCCACATATTCATGGAGTCCAGGCCATAAACAAGCTCATATTCCTATTGAGAACCCTTTTGGAACGCATTTGCATTTATCCACATAGGAGATCTAGAATAAATAAAGAGTGTCCGTGAACTTCTTTCAGTCACACCTCAATTAAATGAGGTAATAAAGAACATGTATCTCGGACATTCGATGGAACCCATAAGAGGTTATCCTTCCTCTGACCTGTGCTGTTATCAGTGCTGTCAATGGTAGGTCACCTCTTGTCCGAAAGCGAAATCGATACACATTATACTAAGTAAATGAGAATTTTCGTATTTGCATGACATCTCTATCACTTTCTGATGGGAGCGTTTTTACTCACGGAGGAGGAAAGCAATTTTACTCCTTGGTGATGGAGCAAATTCGCTCCTATCCCGGAGTGAAAGGGGGGTGAAACTGGAGTTGGCTATTTTACTCTCTTTTTTGAGAAAAATCGCTCCCCTTTTTTCTAAGAGTGTAGTGTAAAATGCCATGTGACACTAAAAGAGTCATTTCAAAAGCATAATTCCATTTCACAGAAATATCTCTAGGTGCTACTACTTTAGGAAGCCAATCCAGTCGGCATATCAATACTAATGCAACGTCTCAAAAGCATTTAAGGCTCAATATGCGCAATGTTGAGTCAATGTTGAAGAACATCAATCGCCACAGTGAGTCAACATTGCCTCAATGATGAAATGCGACAGGTTTCAAAAATGTCTCAACATGCGTCAATCAAATGGCACATGCTGGAGGAATCAGCATGCCCCATTTCATTACTGAAGTATTCTGCGAATTATTAGCATCATCTCAACCCATTCTTCCATCTCAACATATATTCTATGCCGAGATTAGATAAGGACATCCTGGTCCTACGGAGGGATGGAAATAGCATAGTGATTGCAGCTAGAGAAGTCATTGCTGTCATTCTCTCCATGCATTCTTCCGCGCGGGCCAAAGAATGAGATTTGGACATTTTTCCGTCGTTAAACAAAGGGGAGTCAGGAGTCAGGAGAGTTAGTGATATCAAGAGGTGATTTCGCCCATTTCGATATCACGTGTCGAGGTTTGGAAGCAAATGGGGATGGTGAAAATAGGGTAGGGACAACAATATGCAAGACATGTAGCACTTGACATTAAACCCCAGAACAGCCAAGAGAAGAAATGAGGATTGGTTCTGTAGCCTGTAGGGCCTGTTCAGTAGTTTTGCTTTAGCTGAAAGATAAAACCCCATTAAGGGTATCTAGGAATGATGCCTCCAAGGAAAATGCTGTTTTCAAATTCCATTCTATCGCTACTCAAATTAGTATTTACGTTTTGCAGAAATGTTCACCATGCGCCGATCCGGGAGCCTATACCCTAGCAGCACATAACATTGATTCAACGCCGGCTCAACATCGGGATTGCGAATCAATGTTGTTTCAATGTTATATGCTACTAGGGCAGGGCTGCCCAGCATGCGAACCACGGTCCGGATCCGGACCGCGAGCTCCCATCCTCCGGACCGCAGACTACACTGACCATGTGTCCAGCAAATACCAGACAGTCCCGAATTTCTACCTTCTATCCATAACACTCTTGAATATTCATGATACTCAGAACAATATTTGCAGGATTTGTGGGTCATGCCCAGAATTTGACCGTCTTTTCTGCTNGCTTGCGCGTGCGATGAACTTGAGGTCCTCGTCGATAGAAGCGCCGGAATCTCTCTCTCCGTTTGCCTCATCCAATTTAACATCGCCGAACGTGTCGAGAGACCTACCGTTGTTTCGACTGACGTGGAGAACTTTACACTTACTTCTATTAAACCTCTTGAGCCATTTAGTCAAATCAACACCTGAACTTTGTTCTCTCCGTTCCCCAGGCTAGAATTACCATGGATCTCATTGGTTTGTGCTGCTACTTTCGCCGAATGTATCCAGGAATTCAAATGCTTTCCCCGGTGTCGTTCGTCTGCAAAGAAAATATCAAGTACTGCTCCAAAAGTACTGGAAGCGAGTGCCAGTTGCAAATATGGGACAGCTCCCTGTGCTGGCGATTTGCATCATCCCCCATCGTACGTTGATGTAATGAAGACCGGACGATGTCCATGCAATGATGATATTTTCAACATTCCATTAATTTTGACTATGCATAAATCATCAGCATCAAAATCCTTTCAACATTGTCAACATATTATCCACGTCGCAGCAACGATGGGACTGGGAAGAATCTCCGTTTGTCAGTTGGCCAATGAAACAGACTCATGACCGAAGGAATTTTACCAGATTGATTACAAATGAATATTTCAAATAAATTAATCGTTTTCCGCGATGTTCAAGGGCCGAAGGCGTGACCATAGCTCTGGCAAGTATGGAACCATTGTCAACGTTTAAACTTCAGCATCATCTGCAGAACCCAGTGATTTCCAGGAATGCAGCTTGAGATCATTTGGATCTGGAGAAATTGATGGAAAATAAGAAGGCTCTCAATTCCACTATTGCTACGTGGACTTACCTCTTGAACTTTCTTGTTATCTTCTTCACGGTTTGACGCAAGCTTCTTCATCTCTAGACTCATATCTTCAATTTTTTCCTGAAAACAAGAGGCAATCATAAGTGTTATATTCTTGCTTTATTCTGCTGGATGCTGCGTTATTATATGCCTAATTTTAAGGATTACTGAGTCCGCCTGAATATTGATAGGCGTCCTAGACGGTACAAATACTCCATATCCCACAATCTCATGCTTATTTGGTCTCATATAACAGGAGATTTGCGAGGCGGACGCGATTCATGAGATCAGACCCTCCTGCAAGGTTTGCTTATCATGAATTATTTATACATTTTCAACAACGTACAAGGGTCAGTGAAAAGTCCAAATACTGATTCCATACCTCATTTCTTCCTTGAATTATACAATTATAAAGTTTTATCCTCCTTCGTCACATTGCACACTGCTTACGCAATATTATCAGAGAGGCGAACACAAATCCCATTAACATTTCCCATTGTATATTTCCATCTTACTAGGGTGAAGATGCAAAGTGATTATTTATCCCAACCCCAGAGTCGATCCGAACTTGCCGGCCTCTGGTACACTTCCAACACCCAGCCTTCCAACACCTCTCCCACTCCCCTCCTACACTATTCACCCCGTGCCACCATACTTACCACGTCCTAGCGACGCCCTCCAACACCGTTTTAGCACCCTCTAACATTTTCCGGTATTCTTTCAACCGAATTCGTTACACTAATAATGAACCAATATATTTTACCTGAAAAAGAGAAGAAAGATTAACCCGTTGCTGCCGCCGCAGCGGAAAAAAATCTCGATGGCAATGACCAGTGATTTTCATCCCGATAATTTCACAGCTGCCGAATTTTATTGCCAAACTAATGCATGCCCCCTTCTCAAATATTATATTTCAACGCGTCGGAGACTTGCAAAGGAAAGGAGTTAATGGTGCTGGACAATATTAAGAGGGGAGCTATTGAAATGAGAAATAAATGGCATATATAAATAAGGCTTGTTTAGTCACGTGCCATTTCGTAAGAAACGGTTGACGAGAGGAGACATATTCCAGATAGTTCATAACATAAAGGAAGGCTAAGAGAATACTTAAAAAGGGTGGTTCCCATCCAGACGCTGCCCTGGCTTATTTTTCTGACCCTGATCTTTGAAGAAAGAGAACAGCTCTCATACGTGGTATAAGTAGGCAGTTGAATGACATGCGCACAAAAATGAAGCGTATGTCCACCTTAAATGTAGGCTCGACCTTCCGCAAAAATGTCCGAATCCGATTCTTGAACATGAACATGATTCTTGAGAATATTATTTGCATAATATCATTCTTCAAACACATAAATCAACTCACGAGCAGTCGCGGATCCGTTCGGGCTACTTTTGAGTCTTGGAAACGTTTATTCAGCATATTCCACTGTTCAATTGATTTACCAAGGCTTTCTCGCAGGTTTTCTAGCGCATCCAGTATCCGGCCTCCCTGCAGATGCTCCGCTAAGGCAAAGAGTGAGCGAAGATAGGCCAATTGAGTGGCAGTCAAAGCAATGAGTTCATTTCTGAAATGTGTGAAAAATTGGAGGCTATCAGATCCAACCCAGAATGTACATCATCTATGACAACCGAAGGAGTTTGCCTAATTTTGGCTCTTAAGATAATTCTAATTCTGTTTACATATTTCGGAAGGGTGATATTAGACCCATGAAGGTTTCCCTCATTTAAAATCTGAGAAATTTCAGGAAGTTGAGTTTGGTTAGTATCAGGGCTAGTTTGGGTGAGGTAGTTTCTGCCCAGTTTCGGTTTCAACAAAATGCGCATGTTAAGAATTCTCTTAACTTCTGAAACGAACGAAAAATTAAAGTTATTATCCGAATGTAAAGGATTTTAAAAACGTATTTTTGATTTACATTTCTCTTTTACTTTCCAAAAGGACCTCGAATCAGATCGTTTCGCATCACCAAAAAAATTTATTGAGAACGTCAATTTTCTTGAGTCCAAATTTTTAATTCGCCAAGAATTAGAGAGTATATTGGAAAAATGTGAATGTATTATACCCAAATGCACATGTCTATTTTCATATAGATAATAGTAATATTCATACACTATTTCATTAAATGTTTCATTTTGTTTTCCTGTTTGCGAACATTTCCCTTCATTCAACGCTGTTTCAAGTATGTATTCTGAAGGAATATTCATCCATCAAATGCGAGAACTTCAAGAGAACAAAAGGAACCTAATTGTGACGTAACCTAGCGTCACCTAACCTAATCAAACCTAACCTAGCTTCATATTTGAATGTGAATATGTGCTACCAAGGCTTTTGATCTGTTTTATTTTGGAAAGTGGTGTGCCTTTTCTCCAACATGGGAATTGTCATGATTTAATATTTATTTTCTTTGGCATTCATATCATTCATGCGATGAATTTTCTTTGTTACATTGCGAACATTACGAAGTATTGAATTAATTAACATTGCTCTCACAAATTCAGATTTTCTGGACGAAGACTTTAAGATGCAAATGTTGGTAATATGAAGTCCGATTGAAATGGAATTTATTGAAAGTGGATTTAAATTGAAAGATAGAAGTCGAAGATTAGCAGTTCCCCATCGTTCAAAATTGCTTATCGACGTTCAAGTGGTGAAAACCTACTATATATTCTTGAAATGTGCAGCAGTTCTTTGATAAATCGGGTATTCTGACCTTCTTGAAGATAGTCCATCAGTTCCTCTGATGAGGAGTGAAGAAGGGCTTCTGCAATGCCTCTGTGCCCCAGGTTACAGAGGCAGCTGCAAATGAGTGGCAGATCTCTCCCATCCGTCCTTCTCAGAATTTCCAAAAGATTTAAGGCATCCTGTTGTCTTGACCCTTTCGATTTATCTTTGAGGGTTCTGCAGTCGTTATTACCTATAGTTCCGTTCTCTCGCAAGCCTTTGATCAGGGCGTCCATGTTTTGGATGCTGTAAAACTTAACTTGAACTCGGTCAAGACGCCCGCGCAAGTCTGGAAATATCAGATATAGAGAAAATGCATGAGACGCTCAAGCTCGTCATGTATATGTATTGAATTAATAATAATTTCGAACATACTTTTTCTCATCAGGTTTAGCCCTTATTTATTTTGAATTTAATAGGATACACGAAAATGTAGAAAAAACGGAATTAATTACACACTCATGGGATGTCGTAGAATTCTGGCGTTTTTGGTATAAACAAATATTGGGACGTACGCAGTATTTATTAATTATTATCTTCATGACATATTTGGCTAGCATTGTGTAATGGAAAAGGGAACACCAACATTTGTAGGTCTTACCAGTTTTACTCTCTAATTCCTCAGCCAAACCTCCTTGTGAGCAGTCTTGCAGTAGCAACAAGATTTCTAGGTACCACTTCTCGTACCTATAAGGCTTGCTTGGCAAAGTATTCAGAAGCCCCTCTAGTTTTTTTCGATCCTCCGGTAGAGAACTAATCTTTGATATGTCCTCTTCATCTAAGAAATGTTTCAACCTTTCAAAGACTAAATTGAACGGAGCCTGGAGAAGAAGGTGGCGGCGGCTCTTGATAAACCTGGGTATATAGAATGCATTTCAAATGAAAAAGTGACAATTTCTAGATCTGAAATACAATGCATCCCAAAGATTCCCCTTTAAAAATTCAAAAATGAGAGTTTCTAAACCGCACAAGCCAAGTTAAATATTTTTTCAATTCTTCATAGCCCAAATAGGTTTTTGTTTCAAGAGCCAAATTTTTTTTAACTCTTGAGACACTAAGTTTCCTTGACAGAATAAAATGGAACATTTTCATTAGAGTTTCACACTTTTGAAAAATTTGGGGTAGATTAGGTTATGTTAAGATACGTTGAGTTAGTTGGGTCATATTCTGACTCTTCTATTATTTTTGGTTAGGTTTGTGAATTAAATTTTAATTAACTCAACTTTTAATTTCATGTAAACAAATGATTTTCAGAAGTTTACAAAATTCATGCAGTAAATCAGCGTCTAGGATGACTTTTAAACTCAAAGAAAGATGGTTTGGGCAATTGGAAATGGTGGGCTGTAAAGAGACAAATTTGATTTTCCTCTTATACATAATATCCAACCTGAACTCTTCTGCGAGGGGAGGGCTTTTACTCTGATCGGAGGAAATTGTAATCCTTAGATGGCGAAAGCCGCTCCTTCCCAATCATGAAAAGGGAGTTAATCTGATGTAAGAGATTTTTCTCTCTTTTCCGACCAAAATCACTCACTTCCTAACACTTGGAATCCAGTTTCCGATCGCGCGGGGCGAAACGGTCCTCCAATTTTTATAAGCAGGGAGGTGTGGCTCTGGGAGGATGAAGCATGGACGACGATCTACTGTGTGCACGTGAGAAGTTCATATGCCTAAGATGTAGCCCAAAAGAGGGACGGGAAGTTCCACAACTCGGGTAACGCCCAGTCATGATTCTTCCATGACTCTACTGTCAAAATTTGACAAGTCCACATATAACATTCAGAAAATCAACACCGCGGTGCAGATGAGAGGATACGGTAGAATTAGGTCTGGATCTTGACTAACGTTATGTCTACTGAAATTAGTTTCGTTGACTTAGGCAATCCCTTGCCAACAGAACCCCTATTCACATTACGAATAAGTGTTCGACCTCGATCCGGGATGTCAATATGGCCATAAATACCAGTTCATGCACACCATGAACTTTGAACTTTAAAGGGGAAACCAAAGAAACCGTGCTGCACACCGTCAATGAAAACTGTTTGCTACCATGACAGCAAATGGAAGACACCTTGCATTACTATCAGTGGTTTTAGTTCTTTCCTAGAAGGGGAGATAGCGAAAGAAGCCCGTGAGAAATAAGAACGATGAGGGAACATTTGCTTAGTAATAAGAGAGTACATTTGAAATAGCTCACATACTGCTCACGTTTTTACTACCTAAACGCTAGGAAACTTCTAATAGTGTAGGGCGTCATATGACGGCTGCGGGGGTTCGAAGTGCTAATGTTAGTAGCATACGGCTGGCAATGACTTCTAACTACGGCATGTAACTTCAAGCTAAAATGAACCATACCTATCATACGGGTATAATATGATTAAAACTTATTGTATTAGTTGAAGGGTTTTTTGGATACATGAATTCCGGAGAAGTTCATCTCAACTAGTGGAAAATAACTCGAAATGGAATGATCTTATTTGCTGAAAGGCACTTTTTGTCTTTTCTAACTGTTCACGTGCATATTTAAAATGATAAAGTGAAATCAGGGACAAAGTCTGTTGCTGGAAAATAACTAAATATTTACAAGAATTATTCATTATGCTAGTTAAAGGAATATATAAATGTTCTTCTCAAAGCTGCATAGATCTGTAACATTGCACATGTACGAACTCAACATCCCCAGAACTACTCATGTACCAAGTTTCAGGATTGTACCATATCCAGAACACGGTTAGAATTGGCATCACTCACTCACGACCGTTTCTCCACATATGCCATATAATTACTGTATGAATAATCAGTGCATGTACATGGTGAAGGAAATGAAATGAATGTGCCTCACATTCTTGCTGCAATATGCCGTTGTTGCTGTCCGTATAATTCACCTACATGGAAAACAAGCACATTCATAATAACTAGGAAAATGTACCCACAAGCCTTATTTCATTTCATTGAATTAATTTAATTGGAAACTAGATAAATGAGGTACAGAGCTCTTGGAAGCTCCAAAGTTGACTATTGTGACGTTCGTCAGTCTAACTTACTTCCAATACTTTCAGACGAATCCCATTCCTGCCTTTACTGCAGAAAGCGTCTTGATCACAAATAAATGAAAGGAATACTTGTGAATCATTTTTACGGAAAGCTTAAGGCCAATTTCAAGTTACTTTAAAATATTGATGATGCATGTTTGCTAATGCTAAAATATTCCTTATGTCGGGAATGATGGGTTTTAACATCGCTGGGTTTTTCCAGTTTAAATATAATCTCACTTTCAAAATCAGGGCATATATGGATGTACTAGGTGTTGCCCATTGATAACCCCCTAGACCACAGCCTAAACCAGAGGAGGTAGAAAAAAATTACATATAATTGACGCTCGATACAATGAACCTCTACATGAAAGAATTTTCTCTATTACTTTTTTTTCAAGTTTACAATTGTTAGCTCATTCACATTCATGTGTTTCTACGTCTCTATGTAACGAAGTTCTGTGTAAGGAATTGTTCTGTTTTACGAGGGGATTTGTTTGTCCGAAGGAATAAAACCGTTCCATTTTACTTTCGTAAAATGGCGTTGAAGCCCGAGAAAATCTCATCTTTTATCTAAGGAGAATGACAAATATAATGTTAATTTGGCCCTTAAACCAATTTCATTGAATTTGTATAGATCGTTCGACAGGGTGTCCTTTGCAGAGTGATAAAATATCACTATTACTCCACTCTGAAGGGTTTGAAGAAGTTAGGTTAGGTTACAATCTAGTTATTTTGCAAGATTTCCCTTGAAATGTGAAATGGCCGGGAATATCTCTTGATTGGAACTATTAAATGTTCTCAGGAGAGAACATTGATGTAATCCTGAAAGATCATGTTGAGGCTCTCATGCATAGTGAGGGCAAGCAGTATGGATTCTCCTGGGGAAGTCTTGCAAAGGAACATCACCAGAGAGTTGAAGGACATGGAAGATGACGCAGAACTCCTTAATCGTCTATTGTAATCTTAACCCGCTTATCTGTCAGAGGCGCAACCGGGGGTGCACGCAAATTACCTGAGGTGCTTCTTTAGATTCGAAAATGAATGCCTTCATTCATGATATATGAAGGTTTTTTCACTTGTTCTAATGGTTTTGGCTGCGGAGGTGGGGCTACCTTTGTGTAACACCCGGTATTTGGTTATTATCCTCATTTACTTATTTACTCCTCCAGCTGCATAGTTGATTTTCCCTCCTTTCTGCTCAGAAATGACGACTACCACAGTATTACATCACGCCTGCTTCTTTCGAAGGTTTCTTTCCGTCGAGTCGCCAAAGCCAATTTCCACACTGATAATGTATTCACTATCTTCGCCTTTGGCAAGAATTCTTCCGTTGTATGCAAAATGATGGCATTTCAATTGTGGTATGGAGGTAGACCAAAAATGGTAGGAGAACGCATGAGATAAATATACAGCAGGAAGAACTTGTATGTTGCAATAGAAAGATGAAATACAGCAGATGCCCAAAGGAATACAAAAATTCAAATTGGAACATGCCCAGTGTTTTTTCGCACAAATTTTCCTTAAACCAAATGTAAATAAAATTTTGAAAACGTCGCTTGCATCCTAAAGGAATTATGGCAAATATTTAGGAATTCCCTAATTGTTCTAACTTTTGGTGAAAGAAACTAACGTCGGTAGAGGTGACACATTTGGGTATGCATTAGAGCTACGAAAGAACTTCGCTTGTCCTAGTCAGAAGGTAACATCTGCTACACTCTTAGAAAAAGGGGAGCGATTTTTCTCAAAAAAGAGAGTAAAATAGCTAACTCCAGTTTCACCCCCCTTTCACTCTGGGAATGGGAAAGGAACAAATTTACTCCATCATGAAGGAGTAAAATTGCTCTCCTCCTCCGTGAGTAAAAACGCTTCCATCAGAAAGTGATAGGGATGTCGTGCAAATGCGAAAAATTCCTTATATACTGTGTATCTCTCTCATACATGTGTTGACCTACCTCTGACTGTACTGATTACATCACACGTCAGAGGGTGGACCACCACTTATTAGTTCCGTGGAGTAGTCCGGGATATCAGTCCTTATCACCTCATGTAATTGAGGTATGAGGGAATACGCATTCTAGATCTCCAATGCGGGTAATGTCACCCCCTTCCAAGTGTTTTCTCAATAAGAATATGAGCTTGTTGATGGCATGGACTCTATGAATACGTCTTTAATATGTGGATAACAAATGATGAAGTGTCCGTGTTTATTGATTCCTATAATGAGACTAGGCGAGACATATGGCAAGGTACTAAACAATCCTGCGAGGGACGATTCCGGGGAAAGAGGGAAGTGAACTTTTGTGTACAGTGCGAAAAGCGAGACCTATACCTCCATCTAGTGGCCTGGCGAAGAACTTCTAGGTGTTCGCTTCGATACGAGCAATGAGGGAGCATTTGGTGAGCAATAAGAGAGTACATTTCAACCAGCTCACATAGTGCTCACTTTTTACTCCCTAAACTTTCGGAATTTTCTAAGAGTGTTGGTTCAAATTTTTTGCTAGTGGATGACAACGCACGTCCTCACAGAGCCAGGATAGTAAACAATTTCTTGGATGAAGCGGGTTTGCAATAGGATGAACTGGCCAGCACTGTCTCCTGATCTCAACCCAATCGAGCATATCTGGGATTTGCTCCAAAGACGTCTCGACAACCGCCCCCACGATCCACAGTCCATAAACGACTTGAGCAGAGCACTTCTTCAAGAATGGGATGCTATACCTCAGGAGGCCATCCAAAATGTAATTAGCAGCATGAGAAAGCGATGTGATGCTGTGATTCGGGCAAGAGGGGGCCCGACAAGGTACTAAGATTGCAATATTTCTTGAAACTCTCCGTGCAACCAAGAAAATAAAGTGGGTGGCTGATGTGCCTTAGTGACAGGAGTTGGAAAAAGTTATTCTTTTGGTAACCTAAAACTGAGTTAAAGTTAAACTGAGTAATTCTTTTTTTGTTTGTATCTCTAAAGAATATTCTGTAATAAATACTTGCAAAAAACTCAATAAGTTTCCATAGCACGATAAACTCATGACCTACCCAAGTGATCCACTTCAATCGTTGAGCAGTGTAGTTGTATAGGGAGCCAAATTTGGGTTGCAATCGTGCCAACACAATCAGCAAGATTGTTGGACATGGAATCCCATGCTAATGCAGTCGGTTTTCATATTTCATGCTCATATCAATTCATGCTTCACCATCCATTCACAAATAGACGTTTGACTGATGTTTACAAGAATCTTAAGCATAGTGTCCCTCACGTGATCTTTGCAGCAGTGGAAATGTTGCGAGGATCTTGCACAACCTGGCAAAAAAATAGAAAATACCTTTAATGTGTCTGACGATTTTGTCTGAATGTCGGTGGCAATACGATATTCCACGAACATGCCATGAAAATTGCTAAGGCAAGTAATTCCGTGAGAGTGCATTTTCAAATTTCATCAAGGGTAATTTACTAGTTATTAGAAAACAAGTGACTTTGGGAACCCCCTCAAAAAGGAATCACCAGGTTTTAGAACTGATAAGATTACTAAGGCACAGTCACTTTAATTAGGAATATCCATGAATTGAATCGTGGACAAGTGGAGCGTAATAACTACACGCTTTCCTTGCTTTTAAGTCATGTGAAGTATATTTTTTCCCTCACACATCGAGCTTAATTTCACATATTACCTATATATTTTGTATATTCGAGACACGCAGGGAGATATAAACATTTGGAGTTTTCAAGGTGCCATAACGGCGAACTCATAGAGTGGATCTTGTGATTGGGATTTGTAGAGCTCATCTTCCATCCCCCATACTAAGCAACAGACATTGGCCAAGACTGCAGTAGCGAATAGAGGCTTCGTCTTTACGTGTATGATTTACTTTAACCGATTTTTCCACAGAACAAACGGTTCCATTGCATCTAAACCAAGGTCCACTTCATCGAGAACTCTCAACGCCGAATCTTTCGGAGGAAATGAAAAGGCAGGAGATGTGAGTTCCTATTCCTCACTCCTAAAATGCAAGTTGGACAAATTCAGGCTGAAGCAACTTTGGAAAGCACCTTTATCGTTGCAACAAAAGAACGGGGGTGGGAGGGAAGGAATGATTGGCAGACAAAAGTACTCACAAGTATCCCAGCAAACAAGGTAACGTTGGATCAACGTTATATCAACGTTCCGAACGTTTATTCAATGTTGATTCAACGCTGATTCAACATTATGTGTTTCAAATTGTTTGCTGGGATCCTTCTAGTTGCAGCCCTTCAAAATAAACAAATGTGCGAAATGTATTTTTTTTTCATTCTTCTAAGGTGGCAATTGAAGTCTTCACTGGGAAACCTGAAAAGAAATATTCTTACTTAATGTCTATTCGTCGTAATTTTCAATTTTTAGACATGCGCATTCTTCAAAAATAGATTTGCAGTGCGTCATGTTCCGCATTTTTCGTCTAGGACCTAGGAAGTTATATTTACTTCCCATGCATAAGTTCTATTGTTCACATTTAGTGATCGTATATTGTTCACTAGCTTTCCCAAGTCTTTCGCAAGTATGTTGGGTATCAGCACTTGTACATGTCCTTGGCAAGTTCCCATGGTAAGAAGTAGTTTGTTACGTTTGAATAGGACCTCACCTTGTTCATTAAGATGTAGTGGCATCAATTTCCTTATCAACAACATTTACACGCATATTCTTGCCGATCACGATGAATAGGGATTGTTTTAAGTGATATTTATGCATTTAAAATACATATGAAAAAATAAAATGCCGAAATAAGTGTACCCACTTTTCCCTTTTTTTCAGACTGTTTATTAAACGGATTAGTACCAACCTGTCCGCCTGTACCTGTATAAGCAGTGGCGTAGCAACCGCCCAAGCAGCCCCCGCAGTTGCGGGGGGCTCAGGCCTAGTGGGGGCCAAAAATTCCCACCAAACATGCGAAAATTCTCTTAATGTTAAGAAATATTTGGTAAAGCAAAAAAATTATTAAATAAAAGCAAATGGTTACCGCCCATAAGGGAGGGGCCCTGATCGACTCTTAACGTCAAATTATCAACCCAACAGAGGCGATTGTGAACATGTTTACTTGTCTTTGGAGAAGGCAGCACTCCCAACGTTAGGCCATATCACTGCAAGTTAATTTTATGTAATATCTGCCCCCTGTCGGGTACCGTGCAACAGTGTGTGTCTTTCAAAAGTGTCCCATACTTGTGCTGGCCTAGCCTATGGCCTATAATAGCATCGCCTTGTAGGCCTAACGCGCAAGGCCAGCACAAGTATGGGACACTGTATGAACATACATGAACTGAGAGAAAAAAGGGTCACTTGCGGTTAACTTCGGTGGGGAACACCATCATTCAGTAGTTGAGTTCATCTCAATCAAAGGGTATACAGATNGCCCCCACGATCCACAGTCCATAAACGACTTGAGTAGAGCACTTCTTCAAGAATGGGATGCTATACTTCAGGAGGCCATCCAAAATGTAATTAGCAGCATGAGAAGGCGATGTGATGCTGTGATTCGGGCAAGAGGGGGTCCGACAAGGTACTAAGATTGCAATATTTCTTGAAATTCTCCGTGCAACCAAGAAAATAAAGTGGGCGGCTGATGTGCCTTAGTGACAGGAGTTGGAAAAAGTTATTCTTTTGGTAACCTAAAAGGTTAAACTGAGTAATTCTTTTTGTGTTTGTATCTCTAAAGAATATTCTGTAATAAATACTTGCAAAAAACTCAATAAGTTTCCATAGCACGATAAACTCATGACCTACCCAAGTGATCCACTTCAATCGTTGAGCAGTGTACTATCTTGATTTAAAAAGAAAATCGCTCGATTTGTGCTTGAGGATATTTGATGGGTCGACCTAGCATTTCCGTTTGTTCTGATCACTTTCACCGTGACGATTTTCTCACGCATGAAACCTCGGAGATGAGACCTATCAATTTACTCATTCGGAGTCAAGTTCCTGTTGAACCACGAGAACAGCGGGAACGTGCTAACGACCTGCAGCCGTGTCTCATGTCATGTACAACCTGCCCAAAGCTCAGGAAAATTTTGAGGGCGAAAAAGCGGCAGAATTACACGACTGAGATCGAAGTATTGTATACTCCAATCCACGCTGTAACCAGACTCAGGAAAAGGCTGGATGACGCATCAAAGTCACCAGCCAAATATCTTTTTCAAGTAAAATCATCACTGTTCATATCTCCCCTGCTTAAATGCATCTTGTGAAGGGAGGAATAAGCCCAAAGAATGGGAATCCGAGGTGCTGGTACAGGCTGTAGGCCTCAGAGCCTCGTCCCCAAAAGCGTACATGCGTAAAAGAACTTCTGCGTTACCCATTCTCACTTTTGTCCACTCTGGCAGCCTGGTTCAGCAAAATCATGAAGTGACTTGGAATACCAGGAATGCTAATAGAAGTCCTGAAATGGAACATCGAGAGCGCAGCATGGACGAACTCCACAGAATGTGCTCCCTAAGTTTTGACGAGATGAAAATCGACTCCAGATGTAGTTATGACTCCTCTACGACATCTTGTATGGTCCAAGCAATCGAATGATGGTTCCTATGGTAAGGGGGAAATTTGGCTCATGGAAACAACCAATTTTTTATAACTTTGATTCCAAAATGAACAACTCTTGGGTTTCCGTCATGAAGGCATTGCATGTTGCAGGTTTCATTGTTGTGGCAACTACATGTGACATAGGTGCGCAGAACATGAACCTACGGAGAAAGCGTAACACCAGAATGGAAAAAAGCCATTGGCGCCACACCTGTGATCCTGCCCAACCAGTCTTTTTTGCTGATGCGCCTCACCTTCTAAAACTCGTCCGCGATCATTTTGTAGATCAAAGGTATGATATGGGCGCAACGACCTTGACCAATCAGTCATTGGAGGATATAGTGTCTCTGAAGGTATGGCATATTTTTAAAATCATTTTCCAAAGCATTTGATTTTGTCCACTACTGAGAAACTAAGAATGTCACTCAATGCAACTCAATGTACACTCGATCGCAGAAGGTCTCAGGCACTATCTCCCTCAGGACGACAAGCTTGCTGACCTTATTGATACAGGGAATGCATATTTTGATGTTAACAGTCGACAGTAAACAGATAACTTTGGACCTTTCTGGCATATACCTAACGTCAACGAGTTCGTCCTACGTCAAAAACTAATTTACGAATTGGACGCAGTTTAGCACGCTCAAGGCCCTGCGGTGTCAGAGAACGGAAATGTTTCTCTGCTTATCACGTACGTCAGTTCGCCCTGTTGGCATTTTTCTTTTAGTACATTGCATACCAAACATTTTACCACGTCGATCCGCTGCTCTGACCTAAGCCGCAGTTACCTTAGCCTATAGCTCAATGCCTACAGGGCTATGGCTTTTTCGGCCATAGGCCAAGCAAAAGGATTCGCGAAAGGACTCAAAAACGGATATCTCCGTGAGCGGTGCGCAAAGTGTTGAGCTTTCAAGAAAACGATCACAAAGCAACATATACTTGACAAGTAGACTCAATCAAGACTGCCTAGAATACTTATTCCGAGAACTCAGGGCTCCCGGACGAACTTGTGTCAATCCGAGTCCGGTCATTACGCCTAACTAGTGGAAGTAACTAGCAACATATACTTGACAAGTAGACTCAATCAAGACTGCCTAGAATACTTATTCCGAGAACTCAGGGCTCCCGGACGAACTTGTGTCAATCCGAGTCCGGTCATTACGCCTAACTAGTGGAAGTAACGTTGTATCGAGGGGGCTTAAAGTGAAAGACGTTTACGTAATTAATGAGCGGGTTATTCAACATGACGCTGAGAAAATTCCAGACTCGAATGACTCAGAAGGAAATCTGTTGGACATTTCGTACAAATTCCCCCTACAGAAGCATCTAATGACATAAATGACAAATATGGAGAGGAGGATAAAACTGATCTGATCGATTTAGTTGAAGCAGATGTCGTTTTCGATGATGTTAACAATGAAGCCTTGCAAAGAGTTGCAGGCTTCATTGGTCAAAAGCTAAAAGAAAATGCTATCCATAGCTTGATGTAGTAAGCACGAGTAAGCCTATTTCTTGCGCTTGGCTGGATCTGTAAGGGGTTTCCAGCCAGTTCCTCTTGGCTAGAAACAGTAAAGAAATTGGAGAAGTAATTCAAAGCCTGGCACGGGAAACACTTAGAAGAGGGGGGTGGGGCATTTCATTTCAGAATTGATTTTGCTTTTCATGATCCAAGGACCAATTGCTGAAAAGGAAGCGGATAGGGGACGAAGAGAGCGGGCAAAACTTTGCATCTTGCACAGCTGAAACCCATTCGCCAGGAAATTCAGTTCTTTTTTGGAGCTTCTATTTTCCAGGCTCATTTTATTCTGGGCAAGTAAAAGGCCACGAATCAAACAATTTTTCTTTCATAACTCCTTTAAAATTGCATGCATGTCTCTGTTGTGAGAAAAGACAGCTGCGCATTTTTAATCCACGGGTCACAGGCAGAACTACAGTTTCTCTTCTCGAGTGATTCAGGCACCCAATATCCACTTACACCGAGGTATAGATTTGGCAGCAAAGAACACGTGCATGGAAATAGGTTCTATACAAAGATATCTCATTCAGAGGCTTACCACGCCGTCAACTCAGCCTTGTCTGATTCGGTATTTATATCACCATAAACATAAATTAGTGTTCAATAATATGACCGAAGGAGAACCAGAGCGATTGACATGAGGAGAGGCGACAGGTGTGCAGCCATCACGCCGTCAACTCAGCCTTGTCTGATTCGGTATTTATATCACCAAAAACATAAATTAGTGTTCAATAATATGACCGAAGGAGAACCAGAGCGATTGACATGAGGAGAGGCGACAGGTGTGCAGCCATACAGGTATCTGAGACCTCTCCGAGCTGCCAGGCATGTTAACACTCTGGAAGGCCTTGCCCACGCTTCGCGACATGCCTGCGTTCCCTTTCTCAAACTCGTGGCGACCATACTAATAACCAGCTACGTCCGACCTCCAGTACAGCAAGGCAACCCCGGTCTGTCTCTGACGACACCCGGCTGAGTCCCCCTAACCCAGTTTCCAATCCCGGAATGACCAGCTAACCCAGCTCCTCATCAGCGCCACCCTATTACCCCTCCACTTTCTTTCCCCAGTATCAGAGATAGCCGATACCCAACGAGAGACAACGTACCTTCCTCTGGAGAGGAAGCCGGTCGCGAGGCCTGTCCGAAACGTCCTCCTCCAGCTGAGACACCGGAAAGGAACTCATTGTGGAGTTGGTGGCCGAAGACAAAAGTAACGACCTCCATTTATTGAGTGTATTTCAAGATAGCATGGAAGTTCCGCAAGGAAGCATTCAAGCTTCTCAGGTACTGAGGCTTTATATTAAACTTGTCTGTTCTCTAGAAAGACTAGGACTAAACGCAGTTACGCAAAATCCCAATAAGCCAAACTAGTGAAAACGATACTCCCACTTTCCTAAGGAAAGGGAGTGAACTCATCTTTCTTATACCATCTTCATCAAAAGACGTATTAGTACGTCGCGACTTATGTCCTTCTGCTTAGCCTATGATCTAAAAAGGCATGGGCTTGTAGGCCACGTTAGCAGAATTTTCGGCCAAATTGACCGAAAAGTGGCTTGATGCGGATG